ACCCATTGTTAAACAATAAAATCTAATTGATAAAAGGCTGCTTCACGTTTAAAATATCGAAAACTTACATCATCAGGTGGCAACGATTTAGGGATTAGAAAATTTATGTTTCTGGCAGGTGTTTAGTACATTTGAAATGATTAAAGTTTAAGGAATTAAGTAAACTATATGCATTAGTAATTGTATTTACACTCTGAATATAACTCCATTTTAACACTATATTTCATTCAAAACAAATTTACATTTCATTTAACAAATACAGTTTACATAGTTTTTATTACAATACAAGATAAAAATAAGTAGTTTTACCGAACAATAATTCTTCTGTACAATTTTTAACTGTTTAAATGCAATTTAAATTCATTAGAATTGATTAATTTAAATGTAGATATTAGATCATCTTTTTCATTTTTCTTTTGACTTTTTTATATTTGTTTTCAAGTTATAAATTATGATACAGATGTCCACTAATCAGTCGGCGCGGAATGAAAATCTTCTATCAAGTATTTTTATCTGACCCCCAAATTATGATGATGTTAAATTTTGGTAATTTCCTACTTTTTCTTTAACGCATAAATCCGGAAGTCATTTTTTGCCAAACCCACAAATAAAAATTATCAATTTCCAGATGGATATCTTCGTCATTGCATTAAATAAACCTACATCAACAGTTTATTTTTTTTTTAAAAAAACGGGTTTGTAACTTGAAACTGCTATAACTTTGTAAATAAGTCCTGAAATATTTAGAGATTTATCAATCCAAAGAGATATTTTGTTTAGAATTTGCTGTAAAATTTGAAAAAGAATGCTCTCTTTCTATTTTTTGATATTCCATCTTTTATTCTAAATATAGAATAAAAATTTGATTTTGTCAAAACAGAAGTCTTTGAAGATCGACAACAAGTTTTACAAAGTTTTAATATTTTCAGAAATTTGAAATTAAATATTTTAAATCTGATTTTTGTGGATTTGCTAAAAACAATTAAATAATTAATAGAATTAATCCGTCGAATAATTACTTTAAAAAAAGTGATAAAAACACCTTGTAAAAAACCTTAACCTTAAAATTGCAAAAAAAAATTATAAAACAGTTTTATCATTATTACAGCAGCACCAATTAAAAATGTAGCCATTTAAAAAATTTAAAACACATGAGGGAAGGAAGGCCAACCACAACAAATCCCAGACCGAGCCACATTCTCCTCATTTTCTCGTCCTTAACAACCTTGAAATCCTCGTTCTTTTAAAAATATTTTTTTATGTGTCCAATCCTTGAAGATGAAAATATTATTTGAAAATCTGGCCACGTTAGGGCATAAAGCATGGATAGACTAAAATTTTGCAATTATTTTAAAATGTTGGAATCTTCAAATCCATGAGAATGATGTCAAACATTATTTAGGTTAAAACTTAAACCTCTTCTGTCTCCAAAATGGCTAACTTTCATAATACAAAAATTATTTCAAAATATTAACTTGAACATGTTCTATAATTTTCCAATTCAACCCATATAAAAAAAAATCATTCGTTTCTGATATATTTACAAATAAGGCAAATTTTTGTTCTCATACTAAGATTGTCAAACGATTATATCCAAGGAGAAAATAATGTTTAATTTAAATTATTTAAATCATTACCTTCAATTTATCCGTCACAACCCTATGAATTTAAACAGTGTTTGAACCGTTAAGGAAATCGTTTTGTGAGTATAGCAAATTTTTCTAAAATTTAAAAGTTGTAAGAGAAAATATTAATATTTGATTTAATTCCCTAACGTGGACAGATTTTCAAAAAATATTCTTATCTTCAAGGATTTTTGAAAAGACGAGGATTTTAAGGTGGCTCGGACGAGAAAAAGAGGATAATGTGGCTCGGAATAGGAATGGTTGTGGTTGACCTTCCTCCCCTCAATGCATACAGTAAAGCCCATAAAATAGAAAGACGACATTTAAAGAATCTGTTGTGTTTTTATTTTGTTTCAGAACTTATCATTTTTCCAAAAGCTAAATAATCAATTAATTAATCAAAATGGGTCTAAACTGGACTATTTAAAATCAAAACTTAAAGGGAGTGACCGGCTATGTAAAGGTAGTTGAACTGAGTATGCAGTGTTGTGGAAAACTTCTTTCGGATTCATTGAAGACGTATTAAACTTTTTAAAGGTCTGTAAATCCTGAGTAATAAATTCGCCGTTCAAAACTTCTACTTTGGGGGTAGATACGTTTTCAGATTAGTACAAACGTCTTATATAATTCTCAAATGATTTCTAAAATATTTCTCTACAATACTGCATTCTCAACTCAACCACCATGTCTAGCCAGACTCTCCCTTTAAAAGTGCTTTCTGTGCTTTTTACAACAAAAACCAGAATTATTTAAATAATATTTTCAATACAAATTTTTATACATTCATTATTACTTCCATAGACGACCATTTGTAAATACTGCAATAAATTTTATTCCATAGTGTACGCTTTAGCTCCGCGTATATACTAGATATGGCTATTCTTATGATTCGCGTATATACTAGATCCACATTTATACAACATCCGCGTATAAACTAGATCCATATTTGTACAAGATCCGCGTATAAACTAGATACATATTTGTAAAAGATCCGCGTATATACTAGATTCACATTTATACAAGATCCGCGTATATACTAGATCCATATTTATACAAGATCCGCTATATACTTAATCCACATTTATACAAGATCTGCGTATATACTAGATCCATATTTGTACAAGATCCGCGTATATACTAGATCCATATTTATACAACATCCGCGTATAAACTAGATCCATATTTATACAAGATCCGCGTATATACTAGATCCATATTTATACAAGATCCGCGTATATACTAGATCCATATTTATACAAGATCCGCGTATATACTAGATCCACATTTATACAAGATCCGCGTATATACTAGATCTGCGTATATACTAGGTCCAATTTTCTGAGATTTTAAACCTTCATTAAAACCAATTGAAATTGGTACGCTGTTGCCATATCTACAAATTATATATATCAGATCTGCGTATAAACTTGACCCGCGTAGACACTAGATCCACGTATACACTAGATCCGCGTATAAACTAGATCCGCATATACACTAGATCCGCGTACATACCATATCCGCGTATACACCAGATCCGTGTATATACTAGATCCACGTATATACGTTAGATCCGCTATGTTTTTCTCCCACGCAGAATCTTCTTGTGTTTTTGTGTTGGTTTAGTGTAATTATCTGGACTCCCTCCAACCTAGAATATATATATATACTAGGGTAGGGTATGTAGTATTTCTTAAACCCATGTTTACTTTGGATCCATGGTTAATGGCGTGTAAACAATGTTGAAAGAAGGGGGAGGTGGGGAGGTGGGGGGTCTTTCAGACATGTTGGTCCATCCTTGTAACCTTGAACTAACATATGGGGTTGTAGCGTTTTATGTTTTATGAATACAAATTTCGAAATCTGAAGAGTAAAAGAAATTTCCTTAGATTTCAATTTCAATTGCAATTGTATGCGTAATGTTAGGTCATCCTGGATTTATAAAGTGATATGTCAACTTTATCTTTGAAACCTCTTTTTCTGATCAAGAAGGAATAAGATATAAATGATTTATCTTTAAAATTTGGTCAATTTTCAATCGTGATTTTATGGTTTCTCCATGTAAGCGAATTGCAGATTGTTTGCTTTAAAAACGATAGAAGAAATTGTGAAAGTTAAATACTTTTCAAGATATAAAATTACTTTTCAAGATATATAAACACTTTTCAAGATATAAAATTACTTTTCAAGATATATAAACACTTTTCAAGATATAAAATTACTTTTCAAGATATATAAACACTTTTCAAGATATAAAATTACTTTTCAAGATATATAAACACTTTTCAAGATATAAAATTACTTTTCAAGATATATAAACACTTTTCAAGATATAAAATTACTTTTCAAGATATATAAACACTTTTCAAGATATAAAATTACTTTTCAAGATATATAAACACTTTTCAAGATATAAAATTACTTTTCAAGACATTAAAACACTTTTCAAGACATAAAAACACTTTTCAAGACATAAAAACACTTCTCAAGATATAAAAACACTTTTCAAGATTTAAAAACACTTTTCAAGATATGAAAACAAAACACTTTTCAAGATATAAAAACACTTTTCAAGACATAAAAACACTTCTCAAGATATAAAAACACATTTCAAGATTTAAAAACACTTTTCAAGATATGAAAACAAAACACTTTTCAAGATATAAAAACACTTTTCAAGACATAAAAACACTTCTCAAGATATAAAAACACATTTCAAGATTTAAAAACACTTTTCAAGATATGAAAACAAAACACTTTTCAAGATATAAAAACACTTTTCAAGATATAAAAACACTTTTCAAGATATAAAATTACTTTTCAAGATATAAAAACACTTTTCAAGATATAAAAATGACAATATCTTTCACTGATCAGATAACGAGTTAAACAATAAGAACAGGCGGCTGGAAAATCATGAGTTAAAAAGTAAAATTGTTTCTAAAAATCTAGAAATGAATGATATTAATACCTTCAGGAAGTTATCACTATACTGTCTCCTGCACTCAGGATTCTCCTAGAAATTAATGAATTAAAGGGAGCGAACACAAAGCATTGAATTAAAGAGAGCGTATACACAAACTTAGTTTTGTTCAAATCAGCTCGGCTCTTAAATCGTCATAAATCTCAGTAATAACAATGTTTTGTTTACTTTTCTTTATTTTTTTACTCCTATAATTTTTTTTTAATTTATCAATTCAAAATCTAATTAAATCATTTACACAAGAAAAGTAACTCGAGAGTTTCATTCAACGTTACTCTTAAGTTACAAATTTTTTGTAAAAAGATACGGGATTTTATATTCATTTGTACCGGAACTTGACGCACAGCAATCCAGACTGTTATGAAAAGTTGCATTATTTTTCAAAACTGGGTTGACTTTGAAGTGTCGAAACGCCTTGTCATTTGATTTTGTCTCACTAAATCGCTTGTATTTTGTTGCCGCCAGACATGTACATTTTTAAACTATAATAACACTTGTATTCTAGTTTCAATTGAAAATAAATACTTGGCAAAATGTTGTGGGAGTTTGTAACCTTAGGATCACAGTGGACGACGAAATATTACCGTCTTAGTGTCTTTTACCGTCTAATGAAAGGTACTAAAGGGACTGTAAACGTGATTTGAAGTGACTCTTCCATTCCTGTATGCCGAGTCCATTAGCGCCTGATCCAATCAGGGTTCAGTCATGTGTTTGTTTTCTATTCTGAACCAATAGAAATAGTATGGCGGTAACATCTATCTTTCTATCTTATTTTTCAATTAGAGTTATAAATCCTTAAATCGGCGCTATTAATAAATGGAAATATTTACTTCTACTAAAAATGGTGCTTCATTTGTCTAAAATACGTTTTTTCCTCAATATATTAATATTATAATGAACCGGGAACCCTCATTTGGGTTTTTTTTTATTTTCTTTACATTTATTGATTTGTACAAAAGTTGTAAACTTCCTGAAGATTACCATGAGTTTAACTAAAAGAAGAAGGGGTAAAAAACCTGTAAATCTCATGTGAAAGGTTCCTGGTAAACTTGTGAACTAAATATATTCTTAATATTCTACACAGCCGGAAATTTCAGAGAGCATCATGAAACGAATTCCCGAGTTTCTATATATTTGCGTAGATTCTAATTTAAGAAATCAGAAAACAAAATGAGAATGGCATGAAATAATATTTCTTAACAAAATCATTCGTATTTTCAAAACTACCTGACCGTATTCATGAAACTGGGTTTCATTTCTGTAGTTGTTTTTTTAATTTGAATAATTGAATCATGTGATTTGTCATTTGAAATTCTTTAATTTACATCTGCACAAATGTCTTAGCCCCAAACAGGAAACTCGGGAGTCTCATTCAACGATACTCTCTTAAGTCTTAAATTTCCGCCCCTGAGTTTAACTCTTTCCTTTCCTTTAAAAGTACCGAACTCTCAGGAAAATATCTTCAAGTTTAATATTAATTATTTCACTTTATTAAAGATGAGTAAGTTCTGAAGGATATGAGGGCTTCTTAATCAAAATGAGAATTCACTAGATTTCGATCAAATTCTTCAAAATAACAATCTATAGTTTTGGATGATTTTTTCAATTTTATCATAAAATTAAAGGGTGTGTTCGCGAAAAATGAAAGGGGGTATAGGCTTAATGCGATAAAGAAGCGCTTTTAATCACTACTAATCTTACTTCTATCTGTTGTGTCTATAAGGAGAAAATTGTTAAAGACGTCTCATACCGAATAACTTAGCGGCCATGCAAATTGAGAAAATTGCAACATACGACTTAGACCGTAAAAAATCAATTTAATTTCAAACAAATCATTCAAATATTACAACCTATAGTCATCGATTATCTTTCGCCACATTTGTATATAGTTTATATTTTATAATAGTTTTTAATTAATTTGTTTGTTTCTTTTGTCGCTTGCCCAACTATCTAAGAATGCCGCACACCACTCACAATTTTCGAAATCCGTTGAAAACGATTTCTAAAAAAATTAAATATTATAAAATATAAACTATATACAAATGTGGCGAAAGATAATCGATGACTATAGGTTGTAATATTTGAATGATTTGTTTGAAATTAAATTGATTTTTTACGGATAGAAGTAAGATTAGTAGCGATCAAAAGCGCTTTTTTATCGCATTAAGCCTATACCCCCTTTCATTTTTCGCGAACACTCCCTTTAAGATGAATATATTATATCGTTTAAATTTGAAAGTGTTGGAAAAAATTCCGTTTAAAGGGGCTGTAATTGTAATTCCAATGTCAAAGAGAGGAAAGCCTGATTTGCAAGGGCATTTTTTAACTTTTGACTGATCATCGATGGACAGAGAACCCTGTGTTTATCTCCAAAATCGTGTTCAAATTGTAGGAAAACATCTCGAATAAATATGTAAATAATAATATATAAATAAAATATTTACAAATAACAAGCATTTCTAAAGTTAGATAAGGATAGGTGTGTCAACCTAGACTTGTTAAAGATTAAAAGGGTACTGTTGTGAATTAGACACAATGCTCTACAAACGGAGGATCACTTGAAATATTTGACGTGGTTTAGTTAACATTTGTTTGCCTGGTAAAAAATAAAAGCTTTGATAAAAAGTTAAAAGTTTAAAGAGAAGTTTTCAATTTAAAAATTCAATATGGGACTTATAGAAAATAATAAGGTTTAAGTGGCAACTTATACTTATACTTATACACCACATCTTTTGCCCTTCAACGAATCTTTTCAACAATAATAAAATAATTTAAAAGTTTGGAAGAGGTGTGCAGTGTAAAGATTTTACTCGGTTTAGAAAATACCAATTTTGTTAAATCTGTTCTAAAAACAATTTTACACATTAATGTTATTGTACAGTGGGCCCTATAAAATTGAGAAACAGCAAGACGACATTTTAGCAATCTTCGGTGTATTTGATGTCGTTGAATCAAATAGTTTTACCACCAGCTTGAAAATCAACATATTTAGTATATAATGGGTCTGTGTTCACTGCACAAGAGCTGTGTTTCATGTTGATTATTCAAAATCATAACTTTATTTTAGCTCGGTTGTCCTCTTATTCTTCAGTTTGATGAGTCTACCTGTAAAGATTTTATTTAAAATTCCTTTTTTATTTTGAAAAAAATCAAACTTTTTTAATATTTGGAGTTTGTATTTTTTGGCAAATATCAATCTTCTTTATGCAAATTTGTAGTTTTTATTCTTGAAAACTACATAATTTTCCATTGTCAATATTTTGGAAATTCTTTCTAGTTTTCATTTTTGCAAATGTAAAGCTTTTATATGCAAGACAATTTAACTCTTTCAAAAATCAGATTTTTCGGAACTCTAATTTTGTAAAAATTAGACTAAATTGTATGTGGTTGGTTCTGAATTTTCTTGCAAATATCAATTTTTAATATATAATGCTCAATGTACTTTATTGCAAACATCAAACTCTATAAATCATGTTTGGAGGTTTGTTCTTCTAAAAATCAAACTTCTAAAACAGATGAGCTGTTTGGAGATTTCCAACTTCTAAATTCAATATTTGGATTACAAATTCTTTCTAACATCATCTTTGCAAACTTTTAAACCTACAAATTTAAGCTGCAATGTTTGATTTTTTGCAATAATCAAACTTTTCTATTCTATGTTTGTAGTTTTTATTCATGCAAATACCAACGTCTTTGGTTATTTTCGCTAAATCAAACACAAAAATATGATTTCCAGGTAAAAATAAGAATTCAATTCTTCTGATTCTATTAAAAGTAGATTATTAATTTGAACTTTGTGCAGCACTGGATTGTTTCTCTCTCAGGTTCCCAAGATTGCAAAAAGTTATTTTTCGCATTGATTTCACATCTAGTAAACTTTTATTCTCTTTAAATCCGAACTTAAAATATTTCACACAAAAAAATCTTAAAATTGCAGTCAGTAATTGAATACTCCGGTTTTGCTTGAAGATTTCTAAAGTAGGCTCCAAAGGGAATTCTAATAATTAGTGTCATATATTTTATTATCCTACCAAAGATGCCTGAATTCTAATATTTAATAACCTAACTCAACCCTAAAATAATAAAAAATAAATATTAATAATTTTGCTGAAATCATGTACAAAATATCACATATAGGCAACAATGCTTTTGTTTTCAGATCAGAAAACGCATTTTCACAGTAAATAAGACGGGGGAGGGGGGGTCAGTTTAAGAAATTCTTAAATAGATGAGAACTCATTTAGTGGTTAAGGATAAGCCCCCCACCCTCAGGAAAAAATTCCCCCGATCCTGAGCTTCTCAATACTCTCATTTATCATTCTAAACAATATTCTCATTTATCATTCTTAACAATATTCTCATTTATCATTCTAAACAATATTCTCATTTATCATTCTAAACAATATTCTCATTTATCATTCTAAACAATATTCTCATTTATCATTCTAAACAATATTCTCATTTATCATTCTAAACAATATTCTCATTTATCATTCTAAACAATATTCTCATTTATCATTCTAAACAATACTCTCATGTACCATCCTAAACAATACTCTCATTTATCATTCTAAACAATACTCTCATTTATCATTCTAAACAATATTCTCATGTATCATTCTAAACAATATTTAATATGTTGTTTGCTTAAAGGGACTGAATCGCTGATATACTTTGAAAAACTGGTTATTTTCATTTGTGGTTTCTCTACAAAAACAATAGCTCCTAATACGTCAACATAAATATACCCCCCCTCCCCTCTTTAGTTATATTCTATTTTTGATTGTTCGAATATGTAATATAAAAAATACATATATATAGATATGAGATAGGGGGGGATTGACGGATATATATATATGTTGTACGTAGTAATCCATTTATAACGTATAACAATAAGAAATAAATAAAATATTGTGAGATGTTTCACGCAAAATCTAACAAAAATAAAGAAATCTAAAATTTATTTATTTCAAATACATTATTTATAGGTCAAATTTGATGTATTTATTTGGTCAATGTTCTATAGAAAATCTATCTACGTGCAAGGGAAAGACTTGAATAAGATCAATAGCGTAAATATAATTTACATATATATATATATATATATATATGTTTAGCCTTTATATGAATTTCAAATTCTCAAATTAAAGCTATTTTAATTCTGGAGGGGGTCTTATTTCTATTACTCTAAACTTAACCCATGAAATATTCGGTCTTAGAAAATAAATATCTAAACTTAAAATTTGGTTTAAAACTAAATCCTGCTGAGGAATAATTGTAATCTTAAGTGACCCTTCCTGCAAAAATAGCAATGCCAGATTTACCCTTGATACCTTAATCTAATTCTAAAGATAGGAAGATAGCGTCATTTTAAAAATGTTCATTTCTGTGAATTTCTCCATTGCTCCTTGTGAGCAAGACATGCGCAAGTCACTTTAAGAGAGAACCCGCGAATGAAAAAAAAACAGCTGAAAGAAACAAACCCATGGAGATCTAATTTATACTTAATCAGACAAGGCTTTCAAGGGTACTGTTGTAAATCGGACATTACCATCGTTGCCAGGAGAGTTGAAATTACGCTTAGAGACTACAAACAGTCCCTTTAAACATGAAGAGTGGCCTAGGACGTGAAAGATTGTAATAAATGTATTGTCTCTGAGTGTGATGTATCAATACACCCCGACTTGTCTAATGGAACACACTTTGCTTCGTTTACACTATAAAAACATTTTACAGTGTAAAAACTTGGCAGCCCCGGATTTAAGTAATTCCCTCAAGTTACTCAATGCCATCTTAAGACTTTGTGATAAGAATAAATACACGGTGTGTGAAATACTTGAGACATTTAAGAGAACAAATTTTATTCGTGATACAACTTCAGGTTTATCTTTAGGTGGTCCTCCATTTTTAAAGCATTTTATGTACTGATGTATGGAAAATAACAAAGCTCTCTTAGAAGAACTTTAGATGACTTAAGTAATTTTAATTAAAAAGGTGAAAAAGAAACGTTCTGCATACTTTCACCAAGAATCTTTACTATTTTCACCAGTTTTTAATCAAATCACATTCCCTCCAAAGAAATATTGCCGGATTCAAAATGAAACTTTAAAAAAATGGCGGGATTTCAGCCTGACATCAGCTGACCCGGTTTGCTCCGCTCTTGCTCAGATAATCCGCGAAAGATATGTCATGCATCGTCGTTAAAAGAATCTCATCCCAATATAAAACCAGTATTTTCTTACAAAGAGAGACAATTTATTCTAAAAAATATAATTTCAATTCTGCTAAAAGGTTAAATTTTCCGGACAGCCTTGTACCAGTAACTTCGCATTGAGTATTTGCGAAAACTTTGTTAAAACTCAATTTCCTTTTAAACTCAATCTAACAAAATAAGTAGATCTCCGCTTAAGCTTAATCTCAAAACTTTTAACTATTTTATATTGAAACATAAGTATATATATAAACTCAAATATTTAACAATATTCGATTTTTCGACAATTCGACTTAAACATTTGTTTTCTACAACTGAAGAAAAAATATTTTCTTTTGCATAATGATTAAACTGTGCTGCTCCTTGTTAAAGATATAATGTTTCTGTAACAGGATATATTATATATATATATTATATATGATATTATATATATATATATATTCTTTTTGCTTTGGAAGATAAAGACAATTGTTTTTAGAGTTCTTTATATTAGTTTGTGCTAGGAATTATTAATATTATCTTTATCATTATTGTTATCATTTGTATTCTAATCCTTTTTACATGGATTGCAAAGCATAATTTGATGATGAGACATGTGTTAGATTTACAACTGTAAGCGTTAGTACTTTACCTCATCAAGGAGGAAGTTTTTATCTTAGTTTTTTATAAAACAGAACAGAATTCAGCACTTTTTGGATACATAAAATCTGACAATATCGTCATTATTATTACTCAGGTTTAAATGGTACTCCTTAATAGGAAGGTCAACTGAAATTACGTCTAAAGTCCCTTTAAACAGTTTTCTTACCGTATTATTTTTAAAGAGCAGTTCACACCAGTCATTTTTCACGTAAAAGAAAAGTCCAAAAACTAAAAATATAAAACTATTTTCTTCCTTCTTCTCTTTATTCTATTACTTCTAAAATTGGATATTTGAGTACTCAACTTACATTGAATTATATACATTTCTTCTAACAGAAAACAACGCTATTGTATTTTTAGTATAATATTAATGGACTTGCACTCACTTACCAAACTGAAACTGTCAAAATAAAGACTGCCCAAGGTAGTAAGGCAAGGAAAGTTAATTGCTGTTGCGAATTCATATGAAACCAGTTCTATCTGGGCTGTGTTTGTAAACAAGAATAGATGCATCATTAGTGTTCCTCTGTAGTATCCGAGGAGGATAAAAGCATTTAATATAAATAATTCTTATAATTCACATAATAGTTTCCTATGACCAGAATGATTTTTTTATGTGAAAGATGGATCACATGTCAGGCTGTGACATCCGTATTTTCATATCTATTCAGATTTACATAAAACAGAGCATTAGTTTCAGATTAGAGCTTACACAGGCGGAAAAATAAATCTAGTTCGGAAATTATTCGAAAAATGTAAAAATTTTACATCATAAACTACACCCTCTGTCTTTCTCCTTACTTGATAGATGGTTAAAGTTTGAAGTTTTTATTAGAGATATCAAAGATGATGAGAAGGACCGGACTGAGGAGTGATTACTCACATCAAACTCTAATCTTCTAATCCCTTTATCTTTACAACCTAATGTCGTAAACTTTAGCTATTAATTCTGTAAAATCAAATGGTTCAAACTTCAAATATCAAATGTAGACATCATCAGGTTGCAAAGGTATAGGAATAAAAAATTCGAGTCTAAGGCAATTTTCAGTTTATTTAAAGGCGACGACGCTCCTTGCGATTTTCTAATTTTTAACAAATTATTCCTATTCCTGCAATACTATAAATATATCGGTTGTCGACAGCATTACTATAATGTCCCTAACTTTGAACCAAAAACAGCCTTATAAGTCCTCAGGCACACTGCCTGAATGCCTGCTTTTGTAAGAAAAACTGAATTTATCAATTAAGACCCAATTTTGGTTATTGTATTCATCTAACATTTTTAAAAACTTTTTGGAAAGATTTCAACGAAAGGTGTCAAGTGATCTATCAATTCGTCTTCAAAAATGTTCCATTTATTGTTGAAAAACTTATGATACCATATATAGTATCAGGGTGTACCATGGAGTAATATTGATTATTTACCATAGTATCAGGGTGTACCATGGAATAATATTGATTATTTACCATAGTATCAGGGTGTACCATGGAATAATATTGATTATTTACCATAGTATCAGGGTGTACCATGGAATAATATTGATTATTTACCATAGTATCAGGGTGTACCATGGAATAATATTGATTATTTACCATAGTATCAGGGTGTACCATGGAATAATATTGATTATTTACCATAGTATCAGGGTGTACCATGGAATAATATTGATTATTTACCATAGTATCAGGGTGTACCATGGAATAATATTGATTNGATAGATAGATAGATAGATAGATAGATAGATAGATAGATAGATAGATAGATAGATAGATAGATAGATAGATAGATAGATAGATAGATAGATAGATAGCAAGACAGATAGGTAGATAAATACATAGATAGAATCAAGCATAGATCAGAAGAGGCCTAAAAAAGATAGGGTTTAATTTTTACAGCGCTAAGATGATAAATCTTAACTCAGAATTCCACAGGTTTACTAGTCATTTCCCCCTCTAGATATAACCATATCTTTCCCCCTTTAGATATAACCATATCAGGGGGGGGGGTATTATCCTTTAGCAGGGGTTCATAAAACAAATAATAAACTTTTCGCACACTCTGCTCTGTACTTTTAGGAAGAAAATTATAGTGATAAATAGAAGGCCGGGGAAATATAAAATGACCAATACAGTTTTATTTGTGACAAAAGGCGGAAAGGTGGGGAGGTGGGGAGCTCATAGGGTAGGGTACACCAATATAGGATGGTCTCAAGGGCGGTCGGCGTTAACAAATCTGAAACCGCAAAAAAATAAAACTTTAATGACGACCTTAAACTCTTTAAAGTAAGTATAATTTCGTATGGCTCACGGGCAGCCGTAAATCATTTAAATTTCCGAGCTGGGTCAACCTTTCCTATCCCAGTTTGTATAGTACCGCCAGGGCAGTGGGTTATAAATAAAGCAGACACTCAATAGGACTAGCCGGTGCAACAAGGTTGACGCGGTCAGACTTTAGGTTGAATTTACTAGAGAGGTACGTACGTGGGCTGTCCATGCAAAGATGGTATTGTCTGATTCACACCAGTACCCGTAAACGCTTTATTTATTTACGTATTTATTAGATTTCAATGTTTATAGTTTATAAAACTGATTATTATCAATTGTGGTTTCTCTACAAAAGTGACTTACCACATTTCTACTGCAGGTAAAAAAAAGGAATTATCAAAATTAAAACCATAAAAAAACTTTAATATCTTTCATAGATAAAGCTTTAATTGTATCGTTAATTGTAGACAAAACATTGTAATCATTTGCAGGGACAGTCACTTAATTGAAATTATGCGTACAAACCCTTTAAATATATGGCGATCAGATTATTTAATTTGTTTACTTCATTCCTATTGCAGACACCATTTTGTGGATGATACCCATGGTATTCTTGCAGTAATATTCTTTTCATTTTAAAAAAAATTAAGAATCTTGAAATAAAGATAGTTAGAGAATGTTTTGATCGTTATTGTTTTAAATTTGGATAAGAAAAATAAAAAGTAACAATTAGGAAGATCTAGATGTTTTTCTATCATGAAAAACAAATTGATTTTGTCAATTTTCTTAATTTCCCAACTGCATATACGTTTGTAATTATTAATTATCATACAGAAAAACCAAATAGATTGTTAAGTACAATAGATGGCAACGTAGAATTTGTACACTCTCTGTACAGTTGTATTCTGTCGTCACAAGTGTCAATTCAGTTTTTGTGTCCGATAAAATTATCAATAATAGTGATAATTTTAAAATAAAGTGCTTTTCTTACAGTAAAATAAGTGAAATGTGAATGTTTTTTTAGTTTCTGTTTTTATTTAATCTTAGAAAACATGTCAACTAATGTGAGACAATTTCGTTTTCTTTGTTATATTTGACACTTGTGACGTTGTGTATAATTTGTTCATTTCACTGTTGCCACCTATTGTACTTGATAATCTATTTGCAGAAAAACAAGTATATCTCAATAATCAAGTATGCAGCTTTTTAAGATTATCCATATCTCAAGCGTCAAATCTGTGTACTGCAGTGGAAGGATATCAAAACAAAGGATTCAGGGGCAACGCATAATTTTTGAGGGAAAAGGGCCCAAGGGGTGGAATAAGAATATATTGCTATTGTATTTTCCATATTGACCAGAAAGTCAAAAATCATAAGTACTCACTCTAACTTAATATATATTAACTTTTTTTTGTTGGACTGTAATATCACATCAGAGCTGTAGTCCTTTCACTTCAACTTCTGTGGGGCACTGGGTTTGTTTACATTCCTCCCACAGTATACAGTACATAATATGCGCATATCTGAGTGGGGCGTTCCTGTATATAGTTCCTTGATTGGAATTATCCCGACAGTCCCTTTAAGAAATAAGAAAAGGCCCCGGTTTATCCTTGGACTTGTGTGGGTGTGAGATCATGCATAAAGAATGATTTTGCAGGTTAAAGTCGGGGCTAAATATTCTAGAAAGGTTTTACCAACTTCTCACTTCAAATACTAAACCTCCATTTACCATTTCCAAAAACCAAATATGTCAATTAGGAACAAATATTTTGGAATTGTAGATTTGGTTCAGTGAAAATATAAGAATTTTAAGGGAGTGCTCGTGTAATCTTAAATGACTCTTACTTTAAAATTCTTTTTCGATAAATAACAACTTTGAAACTACCCTCATAATGATGAGAAAAAGGTCAAATAAATGAAGAATTACTGGATAGACTTTATTACCACTTATCTTTTTTTGATTTAACACTAAGTTTGTGAAAGTCATATTTATTTTAAATTTTTTTTTTTCAAAATAACTCTTCAGCAAGTGGAGTTATAATTTAAAACATGTAAATTTTCAATCTAAGATAAATTTTAACATAATTTGACGTGAAGCGGCGGAAATTATCAATTTGTATTTTCATGTTTTCTATCTTCAATCTTAAAGTTAAAATGTGCAAGTTATTTTTTGGGAGAAGGTCAGATAATAATTTCCAAATATATATATATATACATTGTGAGCAACAAAGAATCTTGGTGAACAATCCCTTACAAATAATGGAATTTAATTAAATTGGAAAATTTGGAAAATATTTAAAATATTTTTGGCTCTGTACAAAGAGTGAAAATCTTCGCACCAAGTTAATTGGAATTTTCATTTTGCACCGATTTTTCTTCAGTTTTTTAACATTTTCTGTCTTTTACATTAACAAATACTAACTAAACTAACTGTTCTCGTTTTTGTTAATGAATTTCAAAGAAAAATCAAATTTTATAATCCTTTTATCTTTGCAACCTGATTGTGTAACCTTTATATGTCAAACTTGTATTATATTATATTTCAAAGGAAAATCAAATTTTCTAAACCTTTCATCTTTGCAACCTGATTGTGTAAACCTTTATATGTCAAACCTGTATTATATTATATTTCAAACTTATATTATATTATATTTCAAAGGAAAATCAAAATTCCGCTAATCCTTTTATCTTTGCAACCTGATCGTGTCAACTTTTTAAAATTTAAACTTATATTATTTTATCTTGAACAGATATTGATATTTCAAAGTTTGAAAAATCAAAGGTCTACGACATTGGGTTGCAAAGATAGAGCGATTAGAAAATCAGAATTAGGGGCAATAAATCAGTTGCTATATTTGCTAAACGGGAACAAAATATATTTTTGTATTAGGAGACATCTTATATCACGCACCTCTGCCTCTTTAGTAAAAGTAAATTCAACCTATATGAAGTGCGCATAAAGTCTGACCGCGTCAACCTTGT